AAGAATTCCTTGGCATGCGATCAAAATTTTTATATCGCGATGTAAAACGGTAATCTTATGTAATGGGTCAGCATTCAAATTTTCAACACAGTTTCTGAGGCGTAATTCAAGAGGTAACTTAAAATTGCATTTGAACTATTATATCAGTTGGTGTCACTCTGCGCGATAAGCGAATATTATCGGGAAAAGGGCTTCCATATACGTTGAAATCACCAAATACATACATTGTAGCTCATGGACACATTTCTCTACTTCGTCGTAAGTTTACAGAGCAGATTTTATACTTTCGTACTGTTCTTTGTCTTTAATGTGTACATTTATTCTTCTAGTTTAAGGTTATTTATGATTGATCCTGTCGTAAGTCTTCAACCAGCAACCCATCGGCAATATTTCATGTTAGCGTTGTCTTTGCCGTTACGTTGGCTTTGCGTTACTGTTGTTTTAAATACCATGATTGTGCTGAACGAGCTATTTATCAGGCCAGTGACATAGCCAAACGACTTATAGCATTAACGTCCTTGTGATTTTATAGAGATATCGCTGGAACTGTGGATGTTAGATAGCGTTATCTGTACCTTCCCAAAGTTGTAAACGATATATGTTGTTTACGTTCAACACGCATGGTATTTAAAATAACTCAAAATGATTCGAGCGAAACGATCTTTTGTTAAAAGGAAGACTGGTTAATAGAAATTAGTCCTTTTGAGTGACATAAGAGTGTGTCATCGTCCATCCGTGTCATTGAACAAAGAAAAAGTTAGTCGTGAAATTAGAAAAAATAAAATACTAGTTTGTGAGAAAACGCAAGACCTACGGAGCGAGAACTTTTCGGATTTGAACTCAGGGTGTTTGAAAGTGCTAGTTCCCGTAAAAATATTTCAGTTCCACCACATGCACTACAAAAGTGAACGATATCGGGACGCAGCAAACGGTCTATATGGTTTTATATATGAGTTAGTAAACAAGTGGACGTAAACGTCTAACAGGAGAATTTCCGAACACGAGAATACAATAAAAACTACCTGCTCACCAATAAACAATCTAGCTCACTTTATATTGTTCTTGAATTTCGGTGAAGAGTAACCTTGGATTGTGGCATGCAGTCGTAATTCAGTGATGGGAATAGACTATTTGATTTTGATTATTCTATCTACCATCCAGTAACTCATTGTTTAACTTACTTCAGCATTTATGGTAGTAATACATATTTAGCTATTAGTAGTAGGCCTATAATAAAGAATTCGGGATCTGATGCATGCAAACCCAAAACCGTGTTCTTGTTAATTAGTATAGGTAATCACACGGGAAGGAGTGCAATTAATGATTAACACTACGAGTGATATTTGAAAAATGTGCCAAAATTGGATGAGCCGCCGAGGCGAGTGCAATTTGGCACATTTTTCAAATATCACGAGTATAGTGTTAATCATTAATTGCACGACTTGCCCGTGTGATTATTTATTTATTATATGCATGACAAAATCGCTTTCTTTATATTTCAACTGTATTTTGTAAAGAGTTTTTAATTCTTTTGTAAGCAATTTGGTATAAACAAACTTGGGAAATAATTATAAACTCATAAAGGCACATAACTTAAACTAGCACACAAGATTCAAACTCAAACAACATATTTTAGACTAAGAAAATCTTTATAAATTGTATTTCAAACTTACATAGTCAAGTTTCGCTGCATCCCGCCAAGATTATTTCTTAAAAAGGTCTCCAGGTATTTTCCACAGGCTCTTTTTGCCATACATGCAATGTTTCTTAAACTCATTCTTGTGCCAAAATTCAGTTAAATTCGTCCACATTTGTTAGAAATACTTATCTAAATTTCGCCGCCATATTGGATTTTGTTGTTTTGATTTCCCGCTCCCCCAGCCATCACGAAAATCATTAATTGCACTCCTGGAGAGTGCAATTAATTAAATAATTGCACTCCTCTTAACCAATCAGATTGCAGTAATTTTGTCATGTATATAATAAGTTTCAAAATATCTGCATTTTAAAGAATATGGACAATATTGAACAACTGACAATATAATCTTACAAGTTTAGGAACGAACTTTCTCTAAATCTCATGTTAATATTATATTTTGTGTTCAATATTTAAAATAACGTGCATGCGCATGAACGTTAAAACTTGCGACCGTTATTCGCGCGTGCCGGCGAATTTGCGTAAGCGTATAAATGACGTGTCCGATTAATTCTAATAAAATTAGAAATGTTAATTTAAACTACGAAATCTAAGACATTTAACTGTTCGTATTTTCTATTCAAGTCTGGGTTGAGCTTTTGGATGAACAAGGCTTCGGTAATTTTCCGTTCTACAGATTCTTTTGTTCTTTTTAAAATCTTAACAGACAGTTTAGGTTTTTGTCCGTAATGTTGGTCGAGATAGTGTTTCGAGAAAGCCATGTTTTTATAAACATTGTTTTATCCATAGAAATAATAGATATAGAATGCGTACTTGATCACGAATCATGTCTCCACTTTTTCTCATGCGTGCCCTTATAAATCCGCCATGTTAAATTTGTCTAGGAGTGCCAAATACAAAATATAAACAAAGCTAAAACTACGTTTTCATCGTCAAAACGTTTGTCTTGTTGTCTAATTTGTAGTTGGGGGATAGATTTTGAGTTCTCTGAAGGCACAAACTGTCAAAGCAATTGTGAGGTTACAAAAACGGTGAAAATAGGGCAGCCTTGTAAAAACAAAGACAAAGTAGTTTCGCGTAAATATAATTTACTCATAAAACATTTTTGCATGCTCTGAACGTCACTACTTCACTGTTTTGCTAATATTTTATAAGATTACAAAATAATAGTTCTTTCTTCGTCGGCGGGTTTCGTTTTTCTTTAATGTAAACGAAGTGTTTCACATGTTCTTGAAATAAAAATATTTATAGTTGTCGATAAACTGTAAATTGTCAAAATAATCGTCGAAAACTATGGTTTCATAAACGTTGCCTCAGGCTCAAGCAACGTAGAAAAATATGAAAAGTAATTGTGTTAGTTTAAAAAGATTATTGAACTTCATTTATATTATAAAAGAGTTGAAATATATGTAGAACATACCTATTGAGTTTGAGTTTGTCTTGATCTTTCGGGATTTGTTTTGGCTTGAACAACAACGTTGAAAATTTATTTTTAAACTACGATTTCTGTAAATATATATTCTGTTCAGAACTGTTTCTTTTCGTAAAAAAGCCCACTAGAATGGGTTTTAGACACTTTTTCTTCTTTGTAAAACTTTTTTTCCCTATTAAGTCTAGATATAAAAATGTTTGCAAACTTTGCAGGTTGAAAAAACAATTCGCACTCCCTGCAACCGCGCGAAATTCCCGCTTCAGGAGTCTGGGACCAACCAAAATGCCCTTATAAATCCGCCATTTTGTGGAGACAAATTTTTCACTGAGAAAAGATAGGAGTACGCATTCTATATCTATTATTTCTATGGTTTTATCTTAACTACCTGAAGATGGAGTAAATCTCCGAAACGTCGTTTGTTAATGTAATAAACACTTTTAAAAAAGCCTTACTGTGGTTTATGTATTGAGCACAAAAATCTTACAAGTGTGAAGTGATAGTGATACTCAAAGCATGAGAAACCAATATGCTTTACAGGCAACCTCACAAGACAGCTGCCGAGGTTCAGTGAGATATATTGTTAAAATATATAGATCGGACACATTAAAATAATAAAATTTGCAAGTCATTTTAGCAACATGGTTCGTTTTAGCCGAGAAAATTGAAGCTAAAATTTACGTAAATGAGAACAAAATTTGTATCCGATTTATAGATCATGATTAAATAATAATTTCTTTCAGGTTTTAGATCTAGCATTCCGATCCCATTTTTTTGTTACGAAACCTGTTTTACAGATAGCTTGTTGACTATATGCTTCCATTATTCTCATTTAGCATTCGGTATGAAGATTGGCATTGGTGCAGGTGGTGGGGGAAGTGGCCTTATTGCTTTGTGTTGTCTTTATTATTGCTGTTGTAAAAAATGATGTTGTATAGTTGATTATACTGCGTTATGTTTTTGACCAATTGTTAACTTTTTGTCTGTAATAAAAAGTAGGAAGTAATTAGGAGAGGGCAATTGCTCTTGTAATGTATAGGTATTGTATAATATAGCTCATTGCAGTATTTGTGAACGGAGTGCGTAACCATGCATGTACTGTACTCCGCAGGTCAAAATTACTTTATTTGTTGTTACTATATGCTAATATCATTTGTTCTATATATTGGTAAAATATATTATTTTCACAGTCGTGTTGAAATGACAAAATAGTATCTGACTTTATATTATTTGTTTCAGTCATGGCCTTATACTGTCAAAACAACGAGTAAAAAGGGACTCAGCTTGCTGAGAAAAAAGAGGATGTTTAAAATTTTAACGTTATTGTTTTATTCAGAGATTTGAGTAGTTTTGTACTCATTGTTTTGAGTAAGGCACTTGTCTTACTCGCAGTGAGTAAAAGTCGCACTTTACTCACGTTTTATAGGTGTCATTGTGAATGCATTTTGTTTTCGAAATTTGAGTAAAATTTTACTCATTGTTTTGCGTAGAACCGGTACAGTTTACTCGCATTGAGTAAAAGTCGCACTTTACTCACGTTTTAGGTGTCACTGGGAATGCAGTTTGTTTTACTCAGAAATTTGAGTTATTTTTATTAAAACTTTGTGTGTGACTGTGAATGCATTTTTTTACTCAAATATTTGAGTTGATTTTACGCAAGGATTTTTTGCAATTAACACTTTAAATTTTCATTCAAGAATTATAATCACTCTTCTTATTTTCCCAAGTTTTTAATACGTTTTGCTAATGTTTGGAACGTAAAATAACCCTCGTTTTGATCTAATATATTTAGGCCTACGGTTACGTGTCTAGTGCTCGTTCACTGAAAGGAACGGGAGACAATAAATAAGCTTTAAAAAAATTAATATCGTCAGTAAATGTGCCAAACAAATGAACCATCCATTGGAAGTTGCGTCAGATAGCATTAGCGCCATAAACAAGCCAACTTGGTTGTTTCTTTTTCTGAATATTTAAAGCGATTTTTGGTATCACAGTAGGGTATTGTTTATTGAACTGCGTCATAACTTCATGTCGTGAAAACCAAGGGTTCTCAATCTGTAATGATTAAGAATAGAAGCACAATGTAACAATTGCAGAAGTACAGTGCTTACCTCGAACTGGTGTAGGGAATGTTGAGCGGGCGCTTGTCGTGGTGCCAGCTAAAAACGATCCACTGTCGCAGGGTTTTATCATCATTGAGAGAGCCCAAAAGGTAAATTTGGTAAGAAATTTTGCACTCTCCTGCCCCCGTCCTCCCTTGGCAAAGTTACAAGAGGGTATGCGCACCCGTTCACCCACCCCCAGATACCCATAGTAAATTCTTTCCTGGGAAGTACATAGGTAAGGGGGTATCTGAACAAATTAAACTGAGCTTCGTCATTCGTGCATAGATATCTTATATACACTAGATAGCGCATCTCTTTTATAGTAAAATTGAAGCCAAGAATATTCCAGCGGTTACCCCCATTTGAATAGATGGCGGCCATGTTGGTAGTTTCCACTCGCTAAGAAACGCTTAAAAAACAACAATAACTCTCATCATTTGAATAGATTAAATTTAAAAAATGTATTTGAAATAGGTCTAACTTAATGTTTAAGTTCCCTGTTTAAGAAATAGAAAACATACGAATCTTCTCATTTCATGGGAATATCCTGAGTCTGCAATCGATCACGGCTTCAATTTTTGAATTGCAGAATAATTAGATGCACTACCTAGTGTATAAAAGATATATATGCATCTGTGGCGTAGCAAGTTCGACAATTTAGTCCCGCTATGCAAATTCAAAATTATTATCATTATTCATTTATTTAGAAATTGATTGTTTTCACAGTCAATGAACACGAATATATTTGCATAGCTGGAGTAAATCGTCGGGCTGGTTACGCTACTATATTCGTCATACCTGTAGACGTTCAACTTTCCTATGACTCAAAGTGAGAGGTTGTCGTAAGGCACTTGTCTGAGGAGTAAACACCTCCCTGCGGGCAAAGTTTCCCATGACCTTTTGAACAACAACTGTCGAGCTGGGGGCTGGAACTAGCGATGGAAGAGAGTTTGTATTAGGCAGAGGGTCTTCTACTTTGCTTGACGGGTCCACTATGATCGGAGTGTCGACTTTTGGAAACATTTCTTGTCTTGACATGTGAGAACTAAGGGGATGTTCTTGTGGAAACTCGACTTTGATCTGCTTGTCGCTGAATAAAAAAAAAATCGGAATAAGCAATTCCAGCTTCTAATGTACGCGCGCAGGGGGGTGATCGAAAGTAAGGTATCATATTGCTGATTATGCTGATATATTTCAATAAAAACTGCCAAAACAACCGAAATATTTCCATATTTACAAGTATAAGCTATAATTCCGTGTTTACGCGGCCACCATTTTTATTTTTTCAGCATATTCAGCAATGTGATACCTTACTTTCCATCAACCCCTGCGCGCATAAACTAAAAGCTGGAATTGCCTGTTATCATATTCGGTCTATTTAGCCCACAGGGGGTTTACATTTTCCGACCGTTCTGGTCTGGGGGCTTATTGGAAGGGGCCTAAATAAAGGCTGGAACCGAAGTAAATATTCACGTTCTTATGCAAAATATTTAAGTTAAAGAACCATGATTAGAGGAACGTTTTGAGAAATTTTCATACAATTCACCATTCTTTAGCCATATCGGTAAAACCACTACATACACGGTATTGCCAGTAAACGTTACAAATTATGTTTGCCTTCATTACTTTTGGAGATTAAATAGAGGAAAAGCGCTAAATATAGGATGGTTCAAAATAGAGGGTGGTGGCTAATAGAGAGCGGGGGATAACTAGAGGATGGATAATGGAGAGCGTGGGCTGAATGAAGGAATGGGGCTTCATAGATGAAGCAGCTAAACAGATGTTATGGCTAAATAGAGGTTGGGGACCTTAATAGCTGGAAGATGGGAGCCTAATAAAGGATGGGGGTAATATTCTAAGGAATGATGAAAATTTGTTAAAATTAATATAAATCTATTTCCTGATTGGAATTATGCAACATCTTTTCATGAAATAGATTTTAATTTTGTTTTCCTATGATCAAGCATAAAAAGGCCGATATATCTATTTTGTTAGTTGTTCACTAATTTGTTAGCTGTTTAACAATTTCACCCTCATCAGATTATGTAATTGGTAACTCGGTAACTATAAACAAAACTGATATGTCAACAACTTACTGCACTTGACTTGTTGATGGTCTTGGTATCCTATAAATACCATTAATTAATCATTATTATTAATTTGCTTGCATGTTACCTGCATGTAAATAATGTAACAAAACATTTCTCTATCTTTGGTAGACATATTTCAACAGTCCCGAGTAATTTTGCATGGACTTTATATCTTCTGATGAAGTGGTCATTTGTGAATATGCTTAAATTGGCGCATTCCAATCCGTGTTACAATCCGAGTTTTAACAAAATCTGATTCAATCCCTGCAAAGCTGACCGAAAATGAGAATAAACCTTATTACTGTATATTTCGACTTCGGGCAAATTATTTTAGCCTGAAGCGAAGCCGACGAACTTCAACTTCAACACGAACTTATCCTCGCCATTTAGTCTTTCGGTCACCCTCCTTGAACGCGCCATGTTTCACTATAATAATATTTTTTATGCATGATTGGTTCGTTTGCACGTTTTTTATCTACTCATTGTGAATTGTCGTTAAACATGCACTTCTTCAAAGTGGTCACTCGTTCGTTTAGTGATCCACTGATTCTTCACACCTCGTCATAAAAAGCCGGGTATACTCAACCAAGCCCGTGCATATACTTTATCGCTGCCCCAACACTCAAGATATTGTAAAGGTTCATTTACGCGATACAGCAAGATGTCACATTTCATATTTCGCCATGCATGAACAGATGAACAGGAATAGTGGCGTTAGCACTCGTTTCCATACGCTAGAATGATCATCCAATACGACTAGTCGCATCGAATATAAGTTAATTTATTCTGATGCAATTGTGATGTTACTCTGCATGAGTATATATCCACAACGAGCAAACTTGAAAAATATGCCTGACCACGGTGGAAATCGGACCGACGACCTTTGGAATACTAGTCGAATGCACTGCCAACTGAGCTACGCGGTCAGGTCGGTTCGAGTATGTGATAATTCGGAACAGAATCTAGTTCCTTCGATATCAATGTAATCTAGTAATCATGATATTTTTCTGTGTTGGTGTAATATATTCAGGTAAGTATGATGCTTGTGATGTTACTCTGAGTGTATATCTACACCGGGCAAGCTTGAAAAATATGCCTGCATGACCACGACCTGACCGCGTACTCGATCAGTTGGCTGAACATTGGATAGTACTCCAAAGATCGTAGGTTCGATTATTACCATGGTCAGGCATATTTAGTTTTAAAGCTTGCCCGGTGTGGATACACACTCACAGTAACATCACAAGCATCATATATTCACCTGATTATATAACACCAACACAGAAAAAATCATGATTAATTGATTCTATACTTACAATTCATCACTGCTTCTCAGATCACTTCTCTTCAGTTGAGTCACGTCGTAAAATTGAACAAAAGGATAACCTCTACAAGGGTCAGCAGAGGTGATTTTGAATATCAGGGAATATTTTAACTTTATAACTGCTGCGGCATTTGTTTCAGTATAAACCTTTTGCTTGTCCAGCAGTGAAGCAAGATTTTCAGAACAACTGGGTCAGCTTAGTGAGCAGTGAGCACCATATAACTCGAGTACAAATAGCAAAGCCAAAAATCGTGAAAATTGAAGAGCTATTGGACATCAGCACAATATCTTTCTAATGTTTTTGTCTGGGCGGTCGGTCTGTACGAAGCTGAGGGAGTTGTGGCGAAATTTTGTATTTTGACTTGGATTCAATTACAATGGCTTTCTAGGATTTTTGCACTGCATGTACTATATACACTACCGTATTCCGCTTCACTTCATGCACATGGCATGAAGCCGAAATTTTATGCTGAAAGCCTACTATGGCAACGGTGTGCTTAAAATAGAGTTAAAATTTGAAAATATAAATTTTTTTAATCTGCTGTTTTAATTACTGCACGTCGGTTGATGATCAACTAACCGTGGTTGATTACATGTAAAATAAAATGGTGGCAAAAAATAAGAGATTACTGGCTGCATGTGATATGTTGGCATTAATTTGAAAATGCTCAACGATTGATGACCGATGTTTTCGCGAGCGCCTGTTCAAAGAGTGGAGGGCTCGTTATTTTTAAGTCATCTTTATCGACAGAAGTGATGCTGTATGGTGTAGAAAATATTGGGAATACAAAGGAAAGTTTATACCATATCTCAAAGTACTCGACGCGATCCTCGTGTACGGTTGGTTTGTGTAATTTACACTGTATTTTTCTGAAACATTACATCCAAGTATCGTTGTGAATTTTAGAACTTACTTTATAGTTTAATTAAAGCAAGGCACACGTATTTGTTTATATCAGTTTCTTTAACACCACGGTTTGTTCGTATTGTGAACTCGCGCGATTACTTGCGATATTTACATATACAGTATATGAAGAACATAACCCTCTGTTATAAAACCCTAGTGAGCCACCTTAAAGACTAATATTATATATGATTTTATAAACTGAAAACGTTACTTGACTAGCGTTAAGATTCGTTAGAAAAAACAAAATAAAGTGCAGCCGATAGCTATTAATTGAGGTTTTAAAAAACCTCAATTAATAGCTATCGGCTGCACTTTACTTATATGCCGAATGACTTAAGTTCTTGCCCCAGATATATACAGAAAGAGCTCACTGGATCCACTTGATCAATTTCGAATTGATTTATCCTTCAGTTGTTGAGAAATTTGTAAAACCTGGCTTTCTCAATTTTACTATAAAATCTCTCTCTATAATAGCTCTACAATAAATACTTGTAAAGGAAAACTTGTTGACCGTACACACGAGAAGGTACACCACTACACTTGCCAAGGAAAGCTTGTTTGTTTAGCATATGGGGCTTGAAAGTCTCACTTATGTCAGTCAAATTATAATGTTAACTCACCTAGGGTGGGGAAACAGGCCACTGCCAAAGTGTTGATGTGTTCTTTGAAGCACGGGGGGTGGTTCCCATTTTGGCCTATGTTCTGTTGGTAAATATATTGGTCCATCACCGGCATAGCTTCTTGATCGACCCCAGGGCGTTCTTACATTTTCTTCGCGATAGCTTATCCCATGATAGTGAGCGCCATTGCTATAGAATTTGACGAGAAAATGTTAATCAATCATTCAATCAATAATTAAATGGTGAAGGGCGTAAAGTTGCATTTTTCGCAGTGGCCGGCCCTGTTAGTTCGGCTAAAATTGTGATAAATTATCTTTTGAAAACTACATGGATCTTGATATTAGCCACTGGCATACATCAGCTTATTATGGCCGCTACGCAGGCTATATGTGAACAAGAACTTGTGGTTAATTAGTGCCGCATCGCAACTGGACGTTGTAGCTCAGTGGTCAGAGCACAGCATGTTGTTAAAGAATTTAAT